ATGCATCAGGACTTGAACAGGACACTTGACAAGACTTGACAATGCAAAGTTTTGATTTCACATGTGATACCGCATCAGGAATCTTTGCCTTTCACTTGTCATGCATGCTTCACAATTAATGACACGCATCAGGAATCAATGACACGCATCAGGAATCAATGACATGCATCAGGACACTAGTCATGCATGCGTTTGCAACCATCAGAACACTAGTCATGCATGCGTTTGCAACCATCAGGAACAATATGTCTTTAATTAAGAAAAAAACATAATATGAAAAAATACACTCCGTTTATTAAAAAAATCAACCCTAAAAAATCAACGAAGGAAAAATGTGAAACACAAAGCCTTGATATGCAATCAATGACATGCAGACTGTTTGGAATCTCTTTTTCACATGTGATCCTGCATGCCTACATTGACTATGCAGGCCTACGAGACTCTCTTTTTGTATGCATCAGGACTTGATAAGACAGGAAACTGCGTCCATCATGCTTGATTAGACGAAACACTGCAGGATAAAGACTCTGCATCCAACATGCATTTACGCAACACATGCAAACACTCAAACTAGTCCAACATGCATTTACACAACACATGCTTCAAGCCACCTGTGAAGCATGCATTTACAACATATCCACTCGGTGAATATAAATATAGGGTCTTTACCCATCAAATTCTACTCACACTTAAACTCTCCTACTCTCATACTCTCAACCCTCAGCTCTCAACTCTCAACCTCTCAAACTCTCAACTCTCAAAATCTCAAACTCTCAACTTCTCAAACTCTCAACTCTCCAACTCTCAAATATCTCAAACTCTCAAGCTCTCGAACTCTCAAATCTCAAACACAACATCTCTAAATCTCAAACACAATGTCTCTACTCATCATGGGTGACTCTCACAGAGGGACGGCTGAAAACATCGCCGAGTTTGTAAGTCTTTTGTTCTTGTCTATGTTTACAATTTTGTCTAAAAAAACGTTAGTAATTTTACTTCTTCTCTAACGTAACATTCATTATTCTGCAGGATGTATCAAGGTTTCGATGTCGTGCGCATGATTACATACCACACAACCCGCTCATTACGGACTACCTTACTCATTGTGGGTTTGGTGATTTGATCAAAATCAAATCTTATTCCTTCGACATGAAATTTATTCTAGCGTTGTTAGAACGCTGGAGACTGGAGACACATACATTTCACCTACCTTTTGGTGAGTGTACTGTGACTCTTCAGGACATTTACATGTTGCTCGGCCTACACATCGATGGTAAGGCCGTCAACGGAAAAGTTGGTGTCCCTGCCCAACTTTGCGAAGATTTATTGGGCGCCCCTCTTTGTACGGACGGGCCTCAGGCGGAAAGCGAGGGCCGCCCGAGGGGTCAGGGAATCAATTTAAAATACCTTAGAGAACAATACAGCCGTATTGTCTTAACTGATGATAGCATCGAGTTTGAGAAAATACTCAAAACTCGGTGCTATATTATGATTTTATTCAGGCACTTTTTATTTCCAGATGGCACTGGAAATACCGTCCATACTATTTATTTACCATTATTGCGGAATATTAACAAAGTGTGCGAATATAGCTGGGGATCAGCTGTCTTTGCCCATCTATATAGTGCACTTTGTAAAACTTCAAAAAAAAAATTCCTGCACTTTTTATGGTTGTGCTCATCTTCTGCAAGCGTGGGGTTGGTCTAGGATGCCAATGCTTGCTCCAATAAACAGAAATTCTTTTACGTTCCCGTACGCCAACAAGTAAGTATCTTTTCAAGATTATTTAGCAACTACATGTTCTTTTTCAGTTAATAATTTCTGAGATGTTTTTATTTTTCTAGGTGGTATGTTCCAGGGATGAATTATCAGAGATGTCCAAGGCACTCTATAATTCAATACCGCAACCTAATCGACCACCTTGGGCCAGATGATGTAAGTTATTTACCATTAATTTTTTTAATGTATATGCATAAACCTCTCAAACTCTGTCTAACTTAATTGTCCAACTTTATTGTAGTTTGTTTGGATGTCGTACGAGGGTCTCGACCACCAGCCCAACCCCGACGATGCCGTTGTGTGGACATCTAAGACACCCATAATTAGGTTCACTACGGTGGAGATGCACCAAAGTGACCGGGTGAAACTACAATTTGGGATGCATCAAGATATTCCGGATGTTCTAGTAGACTTGGGGCAGTGGCATCAAAAGCGGGTAGACGCATAGTAGAGTGTCAGTGATTGGAAGGAGTTTACGAAGGAGTTGCGTATACACTGGAAAAGAAGAAGGAAATACATCTTAACCGACCGTATTGTGCACGGGGCTAGGCCAAGTCTTAAATATATGACTTGGTTTAGGTCTGTCGAGACATCTCAGCCTTTCCTTTCCTAGCCAACCTATTTGGCCGACCCAAGGGAACGCGGTTCTTCGTCAAACCCACAACAACAGTTCAGTGCTCAAACCCAGCCTTACGAAAACCCATACATGCCAACAAATATCCCCTATCAACAACGACAACCTTACATGCCACCCACCCAATCCCAGCCTCAACCACCTTACCATTACAGCCCTGATACCTCTTTTGAGCCTACCCCCTCCATTTATAGCCCAGACAACTCATTTGACCCTACCCTCTCCAACTACACCTCCAACTACACCTCCAACTACCCCTCCAACGACCCCCCAAATTATCCGTTATTCGACTACCACACCCCGCAACAACCAACACACCTAGACCAACCCAACTCCATGTACACATTCGGACAACCATACCGTCCATACTCCACCCAACCTCCCCGACAATCCTTCGAAAACATGGGCATCGAGCTTGACTACGGAAGCACCGTTGATAGTGGACCTCCCGGCTATTGGGGTCAAATGATGCAAACTCTATCTGATACGTCGGGGCCGTCCCAACCATACCCTCCTCCACAACTCAACACACAAAGACCGGACACACCACAGCAACCTCACCGTAGACCTCGTCGCAACGCGCGTCCCCCACAATGTGGCACCGGTGGTCATTTGGATAGAGTCGGTCATTAGTTTTTTTCTTTTTTTCAATTGTAATTTCATTATAATATATTTTAATATTAATTAAGTTTCTATATCTTTTAATGTCATTTAAATATCAATTAATTATAAAAAAATATATTTTTTAGTCTTTTAAAACAATTTAAATTAAACTATAATTTAAATTTAAATTGCCTTTATGAAAAAAAAAATATTTTAATATTTATTTCATTTTTTTTACATTATTTAAACTTCAATTAATTATTTAAAACTATTAATTATTTAAAAACATAAATGAAATGAAAAAAATAATTATTTAAAATATTAAATGAAATGAAAAAAATAATGAAAACGATGGAAACCCTAATTTGGTCTCATTCGCCAATCTAAATGGCGAAATACTTCAACAATTCAAGCATTCGCCAATTGTCATGGTGATTTGCTTTTTTCCAGTTTCCATTTCCTTTTCTTTCGCCCTCTCAAATGGCGAACGCCGGTTAGATTCATAGCCACTTTAAAAATTTTCCTGAGATATTTATTATTTTGGTATTTATTATTTAATAGATGATTATTATAAATAAAAAAATCTAAACATCTGTATCATTATTATTATAAACATTATATCATTAAAAAATAAAACTCATGAAATAATAAAAATAAATAAAATAAATTATTTTTTAGATCATGAAAAAAATCCATGATTGAATGGACATGAGTTACACATTTTGGTGAATATAGTAATAAAAATTTATACTGATTTAAGGTTTATTATATCTTAGATTTGGATCCTCTCCTTTTTTATATATCATCTCAACTCTTAAGTTTTTAATTTAACGAATTAAAATTTATAATAAATAATTAAATAAAAAAAGTTATTTAATAGGAGAGAGAAATGAATAAGAAATTTATTTTTTATTTTTTTAATTAATTATTTATTATAAATTTTAAACCATTAGATTAAAAATATAAGAGATGATATAATATATAAAAAAAAATTCAAATCCTATTTTTCTTTTATGTATTTTATAATATTCTTCATTAGACTCGTACTTAAAAGTAAAACTATGTAAAAGTGGTTAAAACTTAATTCTCAAACTTAAAACTATGTAAAGTGGTTAAAGAATCTATAACCTATAGGTAGATTCTCCCTTGTCTATCCTTAATGAAACACGTTTTCAAGGAACAGTTTCACAGAAATGTGCCCGGAAATCAACGTAATACTAATGCTGTTCGGTCACACCCCCAACGGTGGAGGTGGAACTGTTCTTCGAATATCGAAAAATCTTATGCGAAATACAGTAATATATTATTATAAATAACATATAATAATTGATATTAATATATAATATATATAATGTCTTACAACCCCTGCAAAAGAGGCAGGTTGAAGACTACACATCATCAACATTTGCATGTACTATAGCAGAACAGTGCTGCTTTACAACTGTCAAATATTAAAAGCGATTTTCATGAAAATAAACTAAACAAAATCACATTAAAAAACCCAATAGCAATCCTATCATAGAAACAGAAAATAAATAAACACTTTTTTGATGAAGACAAAATGCGGAAACTTTGCTTCCTTTTCTTCTTTTCTTCTGTTATTACGAACAATGCTTCTTCCTTCGTTCCATCGCTTTCTTTATTTTCAAATATTCTTCATTCATATATCCTACAAAAATGTTCAAAAAGCTAAATATATTAAAATCTAAACGAGAAAAATAGTTATTTATTATAACATGAAATGTTGATGTAGACACAGTTTTGTTCTTATTACTAGAATTGCCAATTTTGGACACGAACATATATCAACAAGTTACAACATAGATACTCCTTATTTAGCATAATATCATATTAACTAGATTAACATACATATGTTAAGATAATTAATATAGTTTATATCGAATATAAATGAGAATATATTAATTAAGCGATAATGTGAAGAGATTGAATAATGCTTACATAGAGAGCTATGGCAGACCACTATCTAAGAGTGGTAAGGAGGGGGAGGAGAAACATAGAGGTAAGGCTTTTTGGTTGGAGTTGGTGGAGGAGAGTGGTGAACTGGGTGAGGAATGTAAGGAGGATAAGTGTGAACTGGTGGAGGTGGAGGAGAAGCGTACTTGTATGGCTTCTTTGGTGGTGAGTAAACCGGGTGAGGAACGTAGGGAGTAGGGACTGGTGGTGGTGGAGAGGAGTATTTATATGGCTTTTTTGGTGGTGAGTAAACTGGGTGTGGAACGTAGGGAGTTGGGACTGGTGGTGGAGGTGATGAGTATTTATATGGTTTTTTTGGTGGTGAGTAAACTGGGTGAGGAACGTAGGGAGTAGGGACTGGTGGTGGGGGAGATGAGTATTTGTATGGTTTCTTTGGTGGGGAGTAAACTGGGTGTGGAACGTAGGGAGTGGGGACTGGTGGTGGAGGAGATGAGTACTTGTATGGTTTCTTAGGTGGTGAGTAAACTGGGTGTGGAACGTAGGGAGGGTGGACTGGTGGTGGAGGAGATGAGTACTTATATGGCTTCTTTGGTGGTGAGTACACTGGGTGTGGAACGTATGGAGGGTGAACTGGTGGTGGTGGGGATGAGTATTTGTATGGTTTCTTTGGTGGTGAGTACACTGGGTGAGGAATGTAGGGTGTGGGAACCGGTGGTGGTGGAGATGAGTATTTGTATGGCTTCTTTGGTGGTGGTGGTGAGTGGTAGATTGGGTGAGGGTAAACGTGGTGGGTTGGAGGTGGTGGAGATGAATACTTGTATGGTTTTTTATGTGGGGGAGGGGGTGAGTGGTAGACTGGGTGGGGGTGTGGGTAAGGATGAGGGTGGGGGTGAGGGTGAGGATGGGGGTGGGGATAAGGGTGAGATGGAGGAGGAGGAGAAGAGTATTTGTATGGCTTCTTTGGGGATGGAGGAGGTGAATGGTAGACTGGGTAGGGGTGTGGATGAGGATGAGGGTGGGGGTGTGGGTGAGGGTAGTATGGAGGTGGTGGTGAGTGGTAGATAGGTTTAGGGTAGACATGGTGCACTGGTGGAGGAGGAGATGAATATTTGTACGGTGTCTTTGGTGGTGGTGGAGAGTGGTAGATTGGTTTAGGGTAGACATGATGAACCGGTGGTGGAGGAGAAGGATATTTGTACGGCTTATGGTGTGGTGGTGGTGGAGATTTATAATGGTAAGGATGCTTAGGAGGAGAGTACACCGGTGGTGGAGGAGAAGCATACTTATATGGCTTATGGTGTGGTGGTGGTGGAGATTTATAATGGTAAGGATGTTTTGGAGGAGAGTACACTGGCGGTGGTGGTGAAGAGTAATGATAAGGCGGTGAAACCGGAGGATACACCTTAGGTGGTGATGGAGAAGGATAATGGTAAGGTGGTGAAACCGGAGGATACACCTTATGTGGTGGTGAAACCGGAGGGTACACGGTGGTTGGTGGTGGAGGTGAAGAATACAAGTAGCTGTTAGCTGAAATTTGGGAAGGTAGGGTGAGAGAAACAATGGCTAAAAGAAGGGTCAAGGTGACAGAGGCCATTGAAGACCTCATTTTTTGGGTTCTTTGCCTTCAACCTCACTTGCTTAGTGGGTTTTTGATGTGTTTTACGATAGAGAAGTGATGCTCTTTATATAGATATTTTGGTTACCTCATTCATCAACTAGTGTGGTACAATTCATCTTGGTAACTCTGTTTTCAACTTTGCTAAAATTTGGTTTCCAATAACATGTTGCCGTTTCTTGTGTCTTGCTTTCTTTTATTTTACCTCAAAAGTTGTTAGCTACTTTAATAAGGGTGACTTAATTTCTTTTATTAATAACCAATGAGTCTTGGATTAAGTGGAAAAGTTCAAATATTTGCTGGAAAAAGTGTTTATATTTAACTGTGTTCCAACCAAATAATTACCCTCAATGAAGAAAATAGATAAAAGAAAATTATGATTTAAAAATAATTATAAATTAGATATTATTTGCTCGTTAAACAACAATAATCTGGAAGTTTTTACTAATCTTGAAAAATGATGTATAGAGTCCTAACTCTGTGCTATATTCGTTTTTGTCATTGTAAGACTTTTCAAAAGGACTCTTACAGCACAGGGCCCATAGCAGCCTCAATTATAGGGCGACAATTTTACGTGAAATTTTTGTTATTATTTTTATAAAAAAACTTACTTTTTATTTATTTCTTTATAAATACATTTACGAAAATCTAACGTACTTGGCTTTTATAACACACCTAGCCCCCCTTAAAAAATTTGCATGCAATTTAATAATGTATCATGGCATCGGTTCAGGCTTGGTCCTTTTCAGATAAAGACAAGAGATGTGTCTCCTTTTACTTTACAGCTTTAATTTTTTTTTTACTCTTGTGTAAAGTAAAGTTTATAACTTTTGATATTGAATTTCCCTACTGACTAGTATAACTATTTTTCTTAGAACAAATAGATAATTTTGTCCACAAAGATATGAGTATTTTCACAGTAGCTTGAGATTTTTTGAGATTTTTGGTGTAGCTTGGATGAAGGTACTGCTTTAAATTAAAAGCTTTAAGTAGCTATTATTAAAGACAAGTTGTCTCTCGCATGGTAGGACTAACAAACTTTCCAATACACAAGACCAAGGAGTTTCACTATAAATTCTGTATCGAGTTGAAGCTCACAAGTAAGATCAAAGAGATGAAGTGTTAGAAAATTAGTTCATTCTTGAAAACAATTGATTTTCGAGGACATGAAGCATGCTCATAGCATTAAAAAGAATATGATTTTCGAATTTCTTTTGAATAAGGTTGAATTCACTAAAATTATAGGGGCATTATTTAAACATCATAACTAAAAATGTTACTTTTGTTGAAAAAAGGGCATTAAATGTTGAAATAAATAAAATGTTGCCTTCAACCTATATGATAAGTTATTTTTATATATAGAATTATTGTGTCATCTTAACAAATGTTTGATTTTAAACTTAACTAACTTAGTTTTAATTCTAAAACATTGTTAAATGATTTTTAAAAAAATGTGAATATTATATGCTACATTTGAAAGTGCAGTCACGGTAATATTTTATATTATTTTTGTGTTTTTATGTTTTTGTCAATTTGAATATAATTGTCTTATTATGTTTGTGTAATTTGTAATCTGCATCTTATTTATAATTAATGTGCTTGTACGATATTAATATTTCATTTTTATGTAATCGCTTTGACTATTATGATATGTACCACTAAGAAACTTCTTTGCTCAATTGAATAAGAGTTTGTTTTGATCCATGATATTGTTTTTTTTTGTTTAGTCTAGCAAGTTGCTACTTTGTCGTTTCAATAGGTGTTGCTTGAATCACAAGTTAGAACCCTTAAATTTGGATTTTTAGTTGATTGATTTGAATCGAGTTTAAAACATGATTTGAATCGTAAGCTGTGAGAAAATTGCCTATGGACCATTTGACCGAATCACAAAATAAACATGATTCGAATCACAACCTCATGTGATATGAATCAAGTGTAAAAATTGATTCAAATCAATTGTTCTTTTGAAGACATATTTGGGCTTTGCTCAATTTTATTTGAATCACAATTTCTTCTTGATTCGAATCAAAGTTTCACAAGACCCATTTTTCATCCTTGATTTAAATAGTTGTTTCTTTGGTTAAAGTAACAAGTGAGTGAAACATATATGTGAAACCCATAGAGACAAAGATGTAATTTTGTATTCCCTTTTTAGTATGTTCATGCCCATCACCATGAATCTTTATCTTCTTCTCTAAAACAACTTTTTTTCTTCCACAGTTCATCATCAAGACCTATGATGTTTGTGTACATCTTGATTTTCCACCATTCAAATGCAATAGAGTCTCCACTACACGTTGGAGATCTAACAATATAATTGTTCTTCTTAGAAGTACTTTGATCATGATTATTATCACCACGAGGAGTACCCCCACTTGAACCAATTCCAAATCCATTATGCATGAAGATATAAGTATTTCTCTTAAGATCTATTATGCACCACTGTCAAGTGTTTAGCACAGACCTTACTCTGATGTCATCTGAAGGTGAGAAAAGCACAAAAAGGAGGGTTTGAATTGTGTAGGCTTTTCTTGAACTTTTTAAACTTTTGATTGATCTTGATCAGAATTTGAACCTTCAGTTTAGAGTCTGAATCAGAGTCACTCAGAGTCAGAACTCTTTTATTTCTTTAAAGATTCTGAAATAAAATATGACTTAGATGTAAACAAATGATAGTAGCAGAATATAATTTTGAAGCAAGTAAATTAAAAGCACAAGAGACACAAGCAATAATTCTAGTTCCTCTCACAACCTGAGAGTAGTCCAGACCCCTTTCACTTCCAAAGGATTTTTAATATAACCAAATCTAATTACAAATGTACAAGCACACAAGCCAGTGACTTATTTTTCTTATAGATACAAGTATAAGACTTCCTTGCCCAGACATAAAAGTCTGAGACTTCCTTGCTCAAGTCCACAAACTCAAGATTTCCTTGATTTAACACACAAGATAATGTCATCTTTTGCTCAAGAATACAGGCAAGAGACTTCAAATGCTCAATCACACAAGCAAGAGACTTCTTACTTTATAACAAACTACTAAGAGATTTCGGTAATAACTACACTTAATATACAATCAAAGATGTAGACAAAATACAACTTAGATTGACTCTAAGAATTAAGAACTTCTAAGATATTCACAATGTTAAGATGTTCTAAGTCTAACAAATTTGATAGAGTAACTTCTCTTTGAATCTCAATGATTATAGCCTAAACAGCGGTGTGTTGTATTGAAGCTTGGTAGTCTTCTTCTTCAGCCCTTCTGCTCCTTAAATAGAGAAAGAGAAAAGATATGTTGGATACTTTCACCAAAATGTTAGGTTTGCTTTGTACTTGATTAGACACATTAATAAAGTACTTTTCTGTAAGAAAAATCATCCGTTGAGGCTCAGGAATCCAATAAGAGATTTTTTCTTAAGTCTTCACATGATCAAAAATTCTTTGACCCTGCGAGAGTTGCCTTGGTAGAAAAGCTTCCGCTTCAAAGGATGACTTTCCTTCAGACTTCACTCTTTAGAGGCTGATCAAATCAGAGTCCACTTATTAGCTCCTAAAGCTTCAGAGTCTAGATCACCAGAGGTTGACTTTCTTCTGAGTTGACTTCTTCAAAATCTGACTCTCCATCAGAGGCAAACTCTTCAAAACTGATCTTCTAAGCCAGAGTTTAATCTTTCTATACAAATCTCTCAAGTATTTATTCATCTATTCTTAATGGTTGTGTTCTTACGCACTTGAATAGATATTAGATTACCTAATTGCTCTTTAAATGCTTTGTTATAATCAAAATCTTAGGGATATGGTATAAACCAATTTTGTTCCAACAATCTCCCACTTTTTGATGATGACAAACATAAGTATTTAAGAACAATGGTTGTCAAATTAATTAACTTGTTGACATCAGGATCAGATGTTCATAAGCTTCTCTTAAGTCTGATAGTCCAGAGGGTAAGGTTTGTAAGCTTCCCCTAAGTTTGATAGTTAAGAGGGTAAGGTTTGTAAGCTCCCCCTAAGTCCTACCCAGGTTTATTAAATCTCTTCTAATTAACATGTTTATTTCAGGATCTGAGGTTTGTAAGCTCCCCTTAAGTCTGATAGTCTAGAGGGTGAGGTTCATAAGCTCCCCCTAAGTCCTATCTATGTTAGTTAAATTTCTTTAACAACATAATAATCAATTTATCATAATTTAAGCATAAAACAATATTATTTAATCTGATTCAAATGCTTAAATACTTATCATTTTTCTCCCCCTTTTGTCATCAACCAAAAGATAAGACAGAAGAAGGAAAAGATACTGAAGAAACAAAAAAAAGTGTGGGAAATTAAATTCTGAGTAAAAATAATTAAAACTAGCTTTTACAATCCTTTAAAAAATTAAAATTCGATTTTCAAATATTTCTTCACTTCTCGAGATGGTCACACAAAATCCTTTTAGTTGCCAAGTATTGGAAACAATAGAAGTGATAATTGGAATTAAGAGTTAATCAACCAAGAGTAGCATGCATTAGAGATCATTGATGTTTAAACTTCCACAAGCAATGTATATGACACTAAAGATCTATCATAAAAGCACGAAACCATAGGTTACGACCATAGATCTCCGTCCAACTCTCTATTATACAAGATGAGCACAACTATTAAAAACACTAGAATCAGCGTCTCTTTAGCGACCACTACAGTTATGGAGACCAAAATTCTCAAGAAACACATTCTTTAGAGACATGAAAGAATCCAACCTTATAAAATAAGCACCTACGTTTGGGCACTAAGACCAAGAAGGACTTCAGTGTCGAGGAAGAAGCTCAAAAAGAAGAAGAAGAAGGCTCTAGTAAAAAAAGTCTACTTTTATTCTGGCGCAAAAGATGAGTGGTATGTAGATTGGGGAAATATCATCATGGCTCGAGGTTGGAGTGATGATCAAGAATAAGTAATGTAGTAAAGCTTATGTAAAATCATTCCAACCAAATGAAAGTTTAACCATTTTCCCTTTATGC